ATATATATATGGAAAAGTTATAAAGATTTTTCAAAAGAAGTGAAGAAAAAATATTTTTAAAACATATTAAAAATTTAAAAAAAATTTATATATGATTTATGGAAAATATATGAATGGAAAATATATGATTTCGTCATCAGCTCAAATGATTATATCCGCAAAAAAGAGTGCTTTCTAATATTGTATCAATATTGCCAAAGCAATATATATGAATACTAAAGTTTGAGAAGCACCAAGAATAAATTTAACGAAAATAGTTTCTTTTAAAAATGATTTAAAATATTTTCGTAACACGTTGCTGACTGGAACGCTATTTTGTATAAATCAGTTGTTTTGTAGTGATTGTCAAGCAGTGCATATTGTGCTCGTGGGCCACTTGTGCTGAATCTAAAGCGGTTTCATTTCTAGTCGAAATTTTATTCGGAAAGAGGGTTATTTTAAATAAGATAAATTATCTTAAAGAGATTCTCATTAGAAAATAGGTTTAATATTTCTCTTACTTATGTCTTGTAAATGAAAGACCTGAATTGAATTGGGGAAAAACACTGTTGAATATGTCAAATGAAAGACATTGATATTCAGTCATTCACCAAAGCGAATGTTGATATTTACTGAAGAATATCAACCTTCAGCTGACATAGATGCTTAAAAATGCGTGTTATCAATTTAAGTACTTCGAAAAAATCCCCTTTTTTATTGCTTAAACAATTGAATGATGTGTTTTCGAAACATGTTAAAATAAATTCCTGGTTTACCCGCTGAATTTTGTTTGCAATTCTTTTTTGAAAATAATTCTATTTTAGATGGAAAGTAGCTGCAACCAATGAATATGGAGAAGTTTGCATTACATACGATGACATTAATCAAGCTACATATGAAGCGAGAAGAAAAATAGGTAATCCATTCTATATTTCTTATTTATACGACTATTTTAGTGTATAATAAGGCACAACGTAGTTAGGCTGTTATTTGATTCAATTATTTTTTTTATTCGGTCTTAATTTAATACTTATACAGAATATTAGTACTAGGGAGCTACTTTTATTTTCAAAAAGAACATAATGGTGCTGCGACCAGGATTATTTAAATGTAATATTGTTAACTGTATTTAAAACTTAGTTTAATACCTTAAATGTTCTAAACATATACATGTTGATGGGTTAAACTGAAATCAATAAAATATTTTATTGAGGCAGGATCAAAACTGTAAAAGACATCTTGATGAGCATTGCGTTGTATCTTAAAAAATACATTAATCTTCAGAAAAACTTACTATGAATTACTTTTAAAAGCAATTTAATCTCACCCAATTTAGTTTTTTAAGAAAAGACAAAATTTGGCCCAAAGTCTCCGGACCTTAATTAGGAATACAACAAAATTGGACATAAAAGGAGTCTTTCTTTCTTTACTTCATTCAGATAGGTTTCTGGATGACTTTCCTGCATGTACAATATGGGCTGAGCTATTACATCAAAACTTAAAACTAGAGAATTCTTTCAGATAAAAAATGAACAAAAAGGTTCTTCTGGTCGCGTTACTCATGGATGGAACACTACATTGCCTGCTTCGATTAATGACTCTGCCAAAGAGACCGTTTTCCTGACTGTTTGTCCTCATCAAATTCGGTAAAAGATTGCAGTCCTTTTATATCTCTTGAAAAATATCCTTCGTTGAACAACCGACCCAATTTTGGGTTCAACTCCGTAGCCTTGTAATTTTAAACTAATCCAGAAGACAAGCAAACTCCTGGATCAGTACCCCCAGAGGTATTGATTTGTTATGGGAACATGGAGGACTATGCGACTCAACAGATTTAACGTGCATCTGTCAGCATTTACTAGTCTTCTGCCGGCAGGAATCGAACCCACGGACTCTTGGACGTGGGGCCAGTGCCCTAACAACCAGGCTATCCCGGCCCTCTCTCAAAAAATATGTTGAAATTATAGACATAGTAGAGAGCTAAAACTTTCGAGGAAACAGGCGCTCAAAGCGAAGCCAAGAAGGCACACCGGGTGACCTTCTCTCAGTTGCAGTTAATCAAAATAGTAATGATATATGGAATTCAATTAATTAATAAAAGTTTAAAATGATAACGTGTTTTAAATAAATATAACTGAGAAAACTGAGGTGACTTGAACAAGTAGTTTATCGAACGAAAAAATATAAAACTAAGTTGATAAAAATTATCTGTAGAAATTTTGGATTAAAGTGTGATACATCAACATCTCGGTTTCTCTCATTTGCACGGTTTCTGTTATTGTTCATAAAAAGTATTTTTTCTTCTTTATTTTTACAATTTAATATGAGAATCATTCACGACGTCATTAGAACAATCAGAAAGATCGAAAATCATAGTATCGAAAAATTTTGGTTTTGTTATTTCTTAATAGATTATTGCAAAAATTCAACTTTATCCACCACGTGTATCATTGTCATAATCGATTGAAGAAACTAACTTTAGTTTGAAGAAGGAAAAAAAAAAGAATTTCTCCTGGATACTTAACACCTCTTATTAAAAGGTTTAACAACGAAAGCAATCAAGGCCGGAGAAGTTCATAACACATCTGTTCCTGTGTTTGTGAATAGTGAAAACTGGATAAATGAGTTAAAGCATGGATGTACAGTGCAGAGAAAAAACAAAACAAAAAAGGAACACCCTGAATAACTTTTGATTTAATGAGTGGATTTTCAAGACCTAGGACTCAGTTTTAGTGGTTCGAGGGCCTGACCTTGACCTCAAATATGCAAATTAATCACTGTAGATGATATTTCAAGCTACAAAATCGGTCACAAAATTTATTTTCTCTGAATAAACATAATTTTCTTCGATGGAGCGTGGATCTCTTATTGTTAATTTTTCTTTATGCATATTCTGCCATATTTCGTGAAGTTTTCAGACAAAAATTTTTCCCACAATTATAAAATTCGTTTATCCAAAAATAGTTTTATTCAAAAAACTTACTCTCAGTAAATATTTTTAATTTTTTATTGTTTTATTTCATAATAGTCGAAAATATTTTGAACTGTAAGGTAAGCAATTTATTGCATCATTTTAAAAAAAGTGAATTCCTGCGGCAAAATACAAAATTTGAGCATAATACGTCGAATAGTTTTTGTAAAATAAATTTTAAATAATCGAATTTCTAAAATTTGAGCATTCAGAAGTTACTCGACTCATTGAGCTCGAATTTTGAGGAAAAAAAGAACCAAAATCAAAAGTTAAGTTACACAGGGTGTTTTTGCACATTATAGATCAACAAATGAAGAACATTATTTTCGAACGCCCAGAAGAAGTGATTTTCTCTGAATTGATGAATTAATTCCAAGATATGGGTTATAAATGAATCAAAGTGCATGAAATATTTGAAGTTTCAGGTATATCACAACGGAAAGTATTTTCAATTTTGCACGAAAAATAAAGCGCGAAAAAAATCATGAAGTGATGGCTGCTGCGTTTGCTCTCGTTGAAGTATAAACACCATCGCGTGATTGAGTCTATTTCAGCGCAATCCCAACAAATTTTTGCATCCATACATCATCATAAACAAGGCGTGACTATGTTACTGTGAATCACAGAAATGAGTGGTTGTTGACTTCCTCCGGTGAATGTTGACAAGTCGCTTTCTTAAATGTCCGAAATATATACTAGGTCTAGTTAAGAGCCGGTATACCCTACACTGATTTTTTTAAAAGGTTCAGTGCCACTGCCCGGTATACATTTAACTAGTACTCCGAACACTGATGTTTCTCCTAATCTATCCTCAGCAGATATTAAAATATCCGATAAATATAATTAACGAATAAATTATTATCATATGGGATATAACAAATATTTCGGACATTCACCAAAGCGATTATGTCATTGTTGATATTCACCGGTGAAAGTCGACATTCTCTTGATTTCTGTCATGCCCGGTAACAACTAAACTTGCCCTTTAGAAGCAAAGTTACATTCGAATCAGTTAGTTTTTTAAAAATAATCTTGTTCCGTATTAAACTAAGGCGTTAAAAAGATGGCCACGCTTTTTGAGGTTGTACCTGAAAACATTTACAACTATCAGTCACAAAAAGGTCTAACAATAAATGCGAAGTATAATATGAAATTTTTTACACTGGTTAAAAGAATAAATCAAGAAAAAACGTCCTCATTTGGCGGGAAAAAAACTCTCTTCTATTTAGCGTTTAGCCTCCAGCCTCCTGCGATTTATTTTTATTTCCAAACTTAAAAGAAATGACTCCTCAGATAAAAATTCACGTCAAGGGACGAGGTTATTGACCAAACAGATGCCTATTTTGAGGACCTTTTAAAATCGGTACCTCAAAAAGTTGCAATACCAGGGAAAATATTTCCAGACAAAAGAGATTATATTGAAATATAAAAGAAAACAATAAAACAATAACAATATATGAAAGGATTGTTTAAGCATATATTAAGGACTTATTAAACGACCTTCGTAGTTTGAAGAAACGTGTCACAACGGTCGAAATAAGAGAGGTCATGTCGTGATATAAAGTCAGAAAATACGATACATCACGATATTTTCAATAAAAATTATTTACATATTTTTTATATTTAACAATGTTTTCTCGCCCAAGTGAAGACATTTCTTCTAAAACCCTTTTAATAATCACAATTTTAACAATAACAGAGTAATTATAAGAATTTTACAATACATAAATTAAGAGATGCATGGTTTTTATGTACGTACCATCCCTGGCCAAATTATTAGACGCACTTTAAGATTCTATGTAAAATCTTAATTATCAGGTCATACTACACAGCTTTATTGTTTTTACGCGGCTGAAACCGGTTTCCACTTTTTTACGTTCGTGTATCAATTGGTTAACATAGTAATGTAATACGTTAAAAATAAATACAAATAGGAAGTGTATAAAAAAAATCTCCCGAATAAAAACCCATTACATGTATGTTTAAATATAAAAGTATTGCATATAAACTAGTGCAAAACATGCAATTATTAAAACACTACAGCAGCTCTAATAATTTGGTCTAGTTATCATAATGTACATATGATACCTGATATAATAAATATTCTATATTTATATAACATATCGTTTAATTCATTCAATCCTCGAATTTATATTATATGTTGTCTTGTTTAATCAATTGATACTCGAACATAAACTAGTGTAACCGGTTTCAGTCGCGTTGAAATAATAAAGCTGTAAAGTATCACTTGATAATTAAGATTTTGCATAGAATCTCATAGTGCGTCGAATAATTTGGCCAGTATAAATAAAATAACTAGCATTATATGGATCGAGTAAACAAGTCCTTTCAAATTGGAAGATTTAAGTAATTGGTTTTGTATTTTGTAGATAATTTTAATGTCCCGTTTACCTGGACAGCGTTTCGATTAAAAAAGGAATATATGTGATGTGAAATCCATGGCATATTATTTAACTTAAAATATACAAAATATCCTTAAAAATAAATAAATAAATTTCGGTCAAGCTAAGTCTATTGCGTTGCCATTTTTTTATGATTTAAGAAAAAGAATTGGCAATTTTTCTTGAAAAATAGCTACAATGTTTTTATTTTATTATTTTTTTTAAATAACGGCAGGCACTGAACTTTCGTTCTTAGCCTTAGAAGATGCCGGAAGTGTTGCTCATTTATCGTTTCCCCGTTGGCACCTGTGAACCAAAGCCACGGAGGCGAGCAACATTACCCACGCCACACTGCCACAAATACCGTTCATAGGGTGGGTCACATTCACACATTCACTCAGCAGAAGACAACACCGAGAGAGAAGCATCCATGCCCAGAGTGGGATTCGAACCCGCGGATTTTTACTTCGCAGTCAGGCACGCTAACCACTCGGCCATCTGGACGGCAGTGACTGCAATGTGTTGATCTATGAACTGATAAAAATTAAGCAAAGCTTCTCATTTTGAACGAAATTCTGTAAACTGAATTTGATGGGGAAACTTCATATGCTTTCCCAGATTGGGCGCATGCTTATTTGCGTTCTTTGCAGCATACTCTGCATACTGCATAATCAACATAAGCAGAAATTTTCATCAACAATTTTTCCTTTTTCATCAACCAGTAATCCAAAATATTGCTAAGTTTTACTTTTGGCGCACGATTTTGCAATTAACTGGTGAGAGCCGTGGTGCCTGAGAGGATAGCCTTCCAATGAGGTGAACTGGGTTCGAATCTAAGCTATAGCTAATCTTTACGAATTCCGCACCCGGATCGTACAGAAGTTCCCTTGTCTTTTGGATTGTATCAAAATTACAATGCTACGGAGTTGAACATTAGTAGTCGTAAACGCAAAAGAATTGGGTCAGCTGTTCAATGACGGTTATAAAGTAAAACTAACTGGTTGCTTATTGAATAAATTTTTTAGTAGCTCAATTTCGAAAATACAGATTAAAACGAATTTTTTTTGTCTAAATATTTTGGAACAGATGTATCCACCTATACTTTAATTATGACGCCACAGCCAACGAAAATAGCGCTAAGCAAAACAAAACTCGGCAGCTTATTCGAGAATGTACTTTAATTGTGAAGCACTAGTAAAGAAAGGAAAAGGTTTGAGTTTCTCCTATTCTCCATAATGGATTTTATTCATCGATATAATTCTTCGGTATTTATCTCGTGTCGATCAGGCTTTGGTGAACCTAAGGAATTTGCTGTACTAATAACAAAATAAACACTAATGTCACACGAAATAGTCAATATCAATGAATCAAAATGGAGACCTCAAATATGCTAATTAATCAGTGCTAACGTATTGATTAAGTTACACAATCAGGCACAGAAACGTACTATCTCTGAATAAAAAAATTTCAGATGAATTTGGAGTTTTGAGCATCGAAATAAAACCGCAATCTGAAAAATATGCAGTAATTAAGGCAGAAAAGATGTCTAAAGTTTGGGTTTCCTTTATTTCATTTCACCTTATGCTTATTTCGTCATGACTGCTTTTAAGGGCTTTGAAAAGTTTTTTGTATATAATTATAAAATTCGTTTATCGAAAGATATAAAAGCAATGATTTTTAACACCTTTGGATTAAGGAATGAATTATTCTGTGTAAAATAGTTAATTTTTCTTTTGTTTTATTTAAAAAGGGCCGAAATTTCCTTAATGTGAGAAATTAGCTTGTTGCTAATCAATTAACTTTATAAACCGTAGAATTAGGCTCACTATAGCTATTCTAATTAGTTTTTTGGTATTCGCTTTAGCCAATACACGCTTTCTTGAACAATTGTTAAAAAACTTTGCGCAGGTTGCAAAAAGAACCCTCATTGTTTTTTCTCTTTGGACACGATACTCTAAATCCAAAACTCTAGGAACTCTTCCTAGAAATTTTTTCCTTTGGTATGGCAAATGTTAGTTATAAAAGGAATAGTATCGGAATAAAAGTCACAGACATATCGTCGTATATTGTCTCCTCCTATGGCACTATCATGGATCTGAGAAAACCCTGGCTTAATAGTTACTAATATTTGTTTCTATAATTGTACTAAATGAACTTTTTTCTGTATTTTCATTATAGGTGATGTACCAAAAGAAATTTATGAGCTTTCTTCTGTTTATCCTGAATATGAACATATAGCTGTACCAGCAGAGATTATTTTAGAAGTGACAAGAATATTGGTACATAGGTATGTTATTTATTTGTTTATCACTACATTTATATTTTGAAACGCAATTCCCGTTCATGAGTTTTTTTTTTTATGTTGTGTGTTTTGCAAAATTAAAAAGTTTTACAGTCTTCTCTGTTTGACAATTTTAACGCTTTCAACTTAGAAAAGCCTTTTTGGACGTATAAAACAATGTATTTTTTTCCGCTGAAGAAAGAAAACTCTCTTTACAGGTTTCAAATTTCTCGTGACACAATTCTTAATGCTTTTCCTCGTATTGACACAAGTCGGACAGCTATCAAAGACATTTGTCCTGCTTTTCTAAAGCCTGTTAAGTGTGAACTGAATCGATACAGGACATTGACTGGTATGTGCAATAATCTTGAGCATCCATCTTGGGGAAGCGCACGATCTTCAATGATTCGATACTTGCCACCGGAATACGCAGATGGTAAGTTCATTTTTTTTATTGGTTTGACCTTATAAATAATGCGGAAATATGTTTAAACCTATGCGAGAAGGACGCGACAATTTTTTGAAATTACGCGGATAGGTAATGAATCCAGAAATCAACTAAAACAGAGTAAAAAAATTAAATTTGAATTTTTTTTATTTGTTTTCTTTCCTGTTTTAATTACAATTCTTAAATTATTACATTGAAGTTTCAATTAAGTTACTTTATATCTATATCTAATATCGAAACGTTTAATTGCAGGGAAACAAAGAAACTAATAATATTTTCTAAGTAAATATTTGGTGATAATAAGATATAGTTGTTTCAAAGTCTATTAAATTAGTGAGCACTTTCTTCGCTTTTTCTTGTAAGTTCTTGAAATCGCTCTGAGACTACCTCTGAATATCTGATAAACTCCAAGTTATAACATGTTTTTCATATTAGAGTTTTATACATAAATAATTTATTTCTGGTGTATTTTTTTGGTACTCAGTTGTCAATATTTAAATTGGTTTTTTGTTCTGGTACAAAAAACTGTAGAAGCTTTCATGAAATCGAATGCTAGATTGACAATGCTTGAGTGCGCGTTGAGCCGCGTAGAATTGAATTAAAAGTTTCAAAAGAAAAAAAACCTTAAAGACAATTTTAGCAGGTAAAAGAAGAGATTTTGCTGAAAAATATGAATTACGAGGGACTTACGAGGAATATGAATTACGAGGGGTTATGCAAACAATTGTAAATTACACGGAAGTAGATTCCGGAGAGGAGGATAACAATTTACCAATCAACCAACAATTTACCATGTTTTAACGATATTTTAAAAATGTTACTAGTAAAAGCATGTTACGTGAGTTTTGAAATGAATTAAAAGTAACGAATGTTTTTAGTAACATATTAACGAAGTTCCGAAATCAATAGTTGAATGGAACTCCTAACCTAGAAGCATTTCCTGTAATTTAAGTTGTCTACGGTTATGGCAGTAGGTGAGGTTAGAGTGAGGTTATGGCAGTAGTGATCACAACCATTATTTCTTTTGTAAGGTTGTATTGCATTCCTTTTTTGTTAAGAAGGGGTTTAAAACATGTTTTTTCGAAGATCTGTCGCTAAGAAAATAAAAAGACACTGTTTAAGTGCCTTATACTCGACGCAAAGCGACGATTTTAAGCTACATATATCATCTTGCCTTGAAGAATTATCTATGCTTTAAAACAGACAAATAACTTAAATATTTTAAAAGTTCTGAAACTTATTAAAAATCACCTATTTGGCGATATTTTTATGCTTTCGGTGTTTCTCATCAAACCCTTTACTTTTATAGGCCCCATATCCGTTAAATTTATGCGGGAAAGGCTCATAAATTGCGCAAAAGTGGAATATTATTTCTAGATTTTAATGATTTTCATCCAGGTGAGAAAGCCTCATCATATTTGCGATTTTTCTGGATAGTTTGATAATATTTTAAATCTTGTCACTTTTTATATATTTACAAAAGTACAATAAAAGTTTTGTTATAGCGACAATTTGTAATACCTGAAGAAATTGTCGTAATAGAAAGCATGTCGTTGTTAGCAAATACACATGTTTAATGTTTAAATTGCAATAAAAGGGACTAAAAAAATTTAATGGACATATTGCTCCCTTTTCCCCTTTTTTAAGCAACTATTTTGACTTAAAATATTTATCTGGAATAGATTGTTTTCGCCTATAGAGTGTAAACTGAGTTACGCAGACCTGTATTTGTAAAGCAGCAATGTTTACTACAGGAATATTTGAACCATAAGCTTTACAATCGTAAAAAGCTTTTGCTAGAAGAAAGCGAAATAAGGTGCAATACCTTTTTGCGTAATTCATAAAAGTGAATGTTGATTTTAATGGAAAGTTGACAAGGACCGAAATAAAGGGGCACGATAGTTATGTGGTAAACAAAAGCAGCATTCTTTTGAAATGTGTAGCACGATTTCTAAGAACTTTATTTCGTTTCGAAAATAATTTTGCCGGTGGTTGCTTACACGGTGCTTTATGAAACACAGGATTAAAATTTATTACACGGAAAAGTTTTTCCTTTTTTTTGTATTGTTATAATAAATAAATAAAAATGCATTACAGTTAAACATTCTTTTGTTTGATATTTCTTGCTAAAGCAAAAGAAAAATGTATTTTCCAAAAAATGTTTTAGTAATGACGGAAGACTAATAATTTTTAACTCGTAAACATAAAATTTTTGTATCTTTAGCAATAGAGTAATATGCCGTATTCGTTCTATCGAGCTTTTACTGTACTGAGTTTCAGATTATGTAAAATATTTTAGGTATCGCAGAACCAAAGAGATCAGTGGATGGCGGTGAACTACCAAACCCTCGTGTTGTCAGTTTTATGATGCATCACGATGTTAGTGAGCATCATTCTCACATCAACATTCTTTTAGTCTTTTGGGGTCAAATGACAGATCACGACTTGACTTTAGCAGCACAAACAGTTGGTGAGTGCATTTTATTTTAAATTTATTTGCTTTTTGTAAGAATAATAAATTCCTTCGTCATTAAAATGATCAATTAAAAACATTTTCTCAAAAAGCAACAGTCAGTCTGCCATGACAAAAAGAGGGCACGACTGGTAACATACACTTCGGGTGAGAACTAGTTGTTGTTGTTTCTAATGCCACCTGAAAATACTGGCAAGCCTGCGTGTATTGGCAGGTGAACTTAAGGCAGAAAGTGCGCTTCTTGTTTTTAAGTTTAGCCATCTACGGCCATGAATACAACCTCAGCCTCACACACGTCACAGCCCGTTTATAGAGCGAAACCATTCATTCATCCACAGATCGTAATTTGCCCTGAACCAGAGAACGATCAATCTTCAATTTAGTACCCCCAGAGGTATTGATTTGTTACGGGACATATTTAACATGCGCCAGTCACCATACACTACACGGGGAGACTTTGGTTGGCGGGGATTGAACTCACGACCTCTTGACCCAACGCCCTAGCAATCAAAACTAGGCGTACGTTTGATATATAAGGGTGTTCATCCCTTAAATTAATAAAGCGCAGCGGACAGCCAAGTTCATGAAAAACGCATTTAAAAATTGAAATATAGTTTATGAATTAGTTTGCTAACGGTGTAGTGGCCTGAATTGTAACGCGCTTGCTTGATCTTCGTTAGTTTGGGATTTGATCAACGCCTTCTAGAAGAGAGAAGGTCTCAACACGAATCTATTTAGTAGTCCGACTTAACGAACATAAACTTCGCAGTGGGGGATTATAAGAAAAATGTCACAACATTCGGGCTACTAAGCTGCGCTGTGGGGAAAATGCGAAAGATGTCCTTACGTTTCGATCACTAAAGGATCAAATTTCTTGTATATGGTAACCCGTGCCGAGACCATCTCTCTTCTACGAGGTATTGGTTTGAGGTCAATTGAAAAAAAAAACAAAAAACATAAGCAGTTTTATTAAGCATAACATTATTAAACCATAATTATTAAAACATAAGCAGTTAAGCTTCTACGAGGTCAATTGAAAAAAAAGAAACATGAGCAGTTTTATTAAGCATAACATTATTAAACCATAATTATTAAAACATTAGCAGTTAAGCTTCTACGAGGTCAATTGAAAAAAAAACATAAGCAGTTTTATTAAGCATAGCATTATTAAACCATAATTATCAAAACATAAGCAGTTAAGCTTCTACGAGGTCAATTGAAAAAAAAAAAAACCATAAGCAGCTTTATCAAAACTATAAACAACTAGTATTAGCAATATTAGCCTTGGAGTGCCTTGGTTCAAAGGGATACTAAACTGTAATATTTCACTGGTGGGAGGAACTTTTTTTTACAGTCGCACAAGGAATTAAAAAATTTCAAGCATAGAGATAACATTTAACGTTGCATAAAGTTGTGAAAATCATGAATATCTCGACATATATGTAAAATACAACGTTTTTAAATTCATCTTTCAGAAATGAAAAAAAGGAAACACTTGTTATAGCTTGAAAATTTTATAGTATATAATAAAAACTTATGCATTTTGATATTTAGTTTATCAATTGTTTGCAGTCAAGCAGATTCTCGTTAAAACAGCATCAAGTATTGATAACGCTTTTATTTCTTGCACTAATTATAAATTTTTGTCCTCTAATTTATAATTTTTTCCCTTCACTTTTGACAAAGATTGAGCAGTAAAGATAAAGCTTTGGTGCCTTAGGGCTTTCGCCTTCCTATGCAGGGCTAAAGAGAATAGAAGGGCTAGTTCACTCCGCTCTTAGAGCTGAAGCTACGATCGCTCTTAACCTAAAAGATAAAAAGAAACATTCATTTTTATTAAATGGATGTCCAATATATATTTTTTTTATTAATAAAAGTAGAGAGAACGAAACAAACGTTAAAGTTTATATCGGCGGTAAATTGATAATGACTTTAATACGAGATATGTGTTTTTTCTTATTTCGAGTTAATTGTCTCGAATATTCTGAATTACATCAGAAAAAAATTGAAAGTCAATTATTCCCCCTTGTAATTGTGTTCATTTATATTCAGGCAAATTAATTAATTTTTTTCCTACAACATTTAAAAAAAGACAAACAATGAAGGAAATGCAAAAAAAAAATGAACAAGAATTCTATCTTAAATTCAGTGAAAACACCTAATTTTGATGGAATTTTGAATGTATTAAACCAGAGAGAAATGTGACTGTTTAAAATTTACTTCCTGCTTTTGACTAGAAAAATAATTTGGGAATATTCAAAGAAAATTTGTTTTGCGTGTTTTAACTTTAAAATAAGCTTCTGTAACCATTTTTGCACAATTAACTAAACTTCTTTAAACCATTAAAATCTACTTATAAATAGTGTTTTTTAAATCATTTTGAAATAAAGAATACAGTTCTGACCGACAAGAGTGAACTATCTAACTGATTAATAAAACTTACTTATTTTTGAATAAAATTACAAAAAATGTAGCTTATTCAAAAACGATATTTATTGCCGATTATTATTATAAAAATTAGAAATGAAAACGATTATTATTATAAATAAAAACGATATTATTATAAATAAAAACGATATCATTATAAATAAAATCGTTATTATTGTATAACGATTATTATTCTAATAAAAACGATTATTATTNGCATTTCGATAATAGTTTTAAATTCTTGTAAATTCACTGCAAAAACTGAGGAAAGTCATTATAGAAAATAACAAATGTCTTAGAATATCTCGCAAAAAGAAATGCACCAATATTAGTTAGAGCTAGTAAGGCCGAACGCTCCGTTCTTGAAGTAAAAATGCGAGCTTTGTGCCAAAGTGACGTCACTAGAGAAAATCGGCGGATTGGCGCGGCGAGAGCTACTTCAAAGGAGTGAACCAGCCCTTCTATTCTCTTTAGCCCTGCTTCCTATGAGGTCAACGAGATACTACAGTGATGACGTAAAATATCTTCAGTAGATCATGGGTTAAAGCCCCCTTACTGTCAGGTTTACAAGGTTTTCGCGGATTTCCTGTCCTTGTAACGCAACGGAGGGTTAGTTCCATCAAAAAGCTCTCCACGAAGGCAAATTTCTCCCAATACTTGATCCAGGAGATCCTTTGTCTTCTGGATTAGGTCGAAAATTAGAAGTCTACGGAATTGAACATCAGTAGTCGAAAACCCAAAATTGGGTCGGTTGTTCAGCAACGGTTGTAAAAAATTCAAAAAATATACATTAAGGGGGAAGATTACGAAACATCCTGCATATTTATGATATTTTGTAATTTTTGAGTGCATTTTGAAATATATGAAATTGCTTTAAAAAAAGTGTGTTTCTGTACTGGTACCAAAACAATCATTTACTTTCTTTGGCAAACTTTGCTCCATAACTTACCATATCCACGCTTACAATTACAATTCAAAAATATGACATTGATTTTTGTTTTTTATTCTAATTCTATACATAAACTAAACTAAACTCACCGGCGCGACAGCCCATAGAGGGCCAAAGCCTACTGTGCCCATCTCAGTTTTCTTGACCATGGGCTTTGGGGTGCAGGAGCAGATGTTCCGGTCCGGTGGTCAGCCGAACACGAATTCTATACATATTTTTGATAATTTTTTAGAAAACTGCTTCTTAAACCAAAATTCTTACTAAATAAATAAATAAAGATAAAAATAAAATAGAAGGGGTTTTTATGTTTTTTATTTCACTTTCAATACTTTCCCTTCACTTTTTTTTAAGATTAAAGTTTTTTTCGGTTTAAAAATTTAAAGCATTTTTCAAATAATATATAAATAGTTTTTTTTTTTAAAAATTTAAGTTACTTCAAGTATGAAAAAAGCATTTTTCAAGATAAAAAATTTAAAAATTTCTTTAGTTAATTTAGTTAAATTTAGATAAAGAAATTAAATTATTAATGTTTATTTAAAAAAATTATTTCGCTGGCACAAAAAAATAAAATTGATCAAATAGTTTAAAAAAGTCATTTATTTTGATTCAAAAGACAAAATTAAACTTTTTTTCAGCTAGAAAAAATCAAAGATTTTGCACTAAAATAAATAATTTCTTTTGACATAAATTAAATAAAAAAGAAACACTTTTCAGTTATAAGAAGGGAATCCTGAAAAAAAAAATCTCATTCGCAGTTATAGAACCGACTTTCTCTCAGTCATAATCTCTCTATCTTAACCGTTCAGCCTCAAACGGTCACAATTTTAACCCTTTTTCTAAATTCTATTTTTAAATTCTAATGCTATAAGAATTAAAAGTTAAATGGCTCATATCTTGATTCATGGGCCGCAGTTTCCACAAATTTTTTCCCCTGTCCATGTTTTTATAGATGTATACTTCCTTTATTAGTAATACAACTTAGCTATTGTTGCTATTTGTTAAAGATATTATTATGTAATTGCCCTAGTTAAACTTTAAACTGTTATTTTTATTGGTAAACATTAGACACTATTTAAAAAACAAAAAATATTATATTGGCCCAGTTAACATCATGAATGCCCAAAATTGGCTCCTTTAGTCGAAGAAAAATTTTTTTAAGTATTTATAGAAAACTTTTGTAATAATTTTAGTCAATTTATGTCACTAGAATAAATTTTCTAAAAATTCTTTACTCTGAATTAAATTTTAAACTTAATTGTGCTAAAGCTAAAAATTTTGAGGAGTGTTATGCTTTCATTTTTAGAGAACTGCTCTATGTTCACTTTTATTGTTTATACTAAAGATAAGAAGGTTCTTAAAGATTAAATTACTTGAACCTTGATCCTAAACTTCGGAATTGTGAAATTCTATTCAATGAGTTAATTAGCAGTGTTAGTTTTTGTTCGCAGAGTATCGCGTTTTTCTTTTCTTAGAATCGTATTCTATAATGGAAAAATTGCAACATAAAAGTGAGGTTATCCAAGGTCACGCATCTGAAAGTGATATTTAGAGGCAATATTTTGAAACCAATACCATATATGTATTATTGAAAAAGACATTTAAACTATTTTTTGTTTCTATA